TAGTAACCCTTTCCTGTTACAATTACTAAAAAGAGAAGAAGAAAAACTTTATAAAACTGGGTTGCTTAAATGTGCGTGGATGTAGTGCGGATGACAAGAAACAGATGATTGCTGATGTTATGAATGAAAAGAAGTTGGATGTCCTGGCCCCAAGCGAAAACAAAGCTGAAGGGGGTAGGAGAGTTTCAGTGGGGGAAATAAATGGGATTAAAATCTGGAGTATCTGAGAGAGTTAGAGCAAAGGAAGGGGTAGCAGTAATGTTAAAAGATCAGTTATGGAAGGAAGAAAGAGAATATGAATGTTTAAATTCAAGAATTATGTGGATTAAAGTAAAGGTTGGAAAGCGAGAAGTGGGTCATAATAAGCGTGTATGCACCTGGAGAAGAGAGGAATGCAGAGGAGAGAGAGGATTTTGGGAGATGTTAAGTGAATTTTATAGGAGCCTTTGAACCAAGTGAGAGAGTAATTGTGGTAGGGGCTTGAATGCTAAAGTAGGAGAAACTTTTAGAGAGGGTGTGGTAGGTAAGTTTGGGGTGCCAGGTGTAAATGATAATGGGAGCCCTTTGATTGAACTTTGTATAGAAAGGGGTTTTTAGTTATAGGTAATACAATTTTAAGAAAAAGAGGATAAATAAGTATACACGATATGATGTAGGGCGAAATGACAGTAGTTTTGTTGGTTTAATGTTTTGGGTTTTAATTAAGACTGTTGAGTAGACTTCAGGTGTACATGTTTATAGAGGGCCACAGATATATCAGATCACTTCTAGTTGTAGCTACACTGAGGGGAAAAAGGTTAGATGGGATAAAAGGAGAATAAAAAGCATCGGGGAAAAAAGAGAGGTAAAGGTTAATAACTAAAAAGGGAGGCAGTTGGGGAAAAGATATAAACAGCTATTGGAGGTAGATGGCTAATGGAGCTGGGCAATGGGGTCGAAGAGGTTTGGGGTAGGTTTAAAAATGTAGTGTTAGAGTGTTCAGCAAAAGGTTTGTGTTTACAGGAAAGGGGTGGCAGGAGGGAAGAGGAGCGATTGGTGGTAATGAGATTTTAAAAGAGAGTAGTAAGGGAGAAAAAGTTAGCAATGAAAAGTTTTTACAAAGTAGAAGTGATGCAAGAGGGAAGAGTATATGGAGAAAAGGAAAAAGTTAAGGAGTGGTGAAACAATGTAAAAAGAGGAAACAAATGAGAGTGGGTGAGATGTTATCAACAAATTTTGTTGAAAATAAGAAAAAGTTTTTTTGGAGTGAGATTAACAAGTTAAGAAAGGGCCCAGAGAACAAATGGATTGTCAGTTAAAAATAGGAGAGGAGAGTTATTAAATGGAGAGTTAGAGGTATTGGGAAGATGGAAGGAATATTTTGAGGAATTGTTAAATGTTGATGAAGATAGGGAAGCTGTGATTTCGTGTATAGGGCAAGGAGGAATAACATCTTGTAGGAGTGAGGAAGAGTCAGTTGTGAGTGTGGGGGAAGTTCGTGAGGCAGTAGGTAAAATGAAAGGGGGTAAGGCAGCCGGGATTGATGGGATAAAGATAGAAATGTTAAAAGCAGGTGGGGATATAGTTTTGGAGTGGTTGGTGCAATTATTTAATAAATGTATGGAAGAGGGTAAGGTACCTAGGGATTGGCAGAGAGCATGCATAGTTCCTTTGTATAAAGGCCAAAGGGGGATAAAAGAGAGTGCAAAAATTATAGGGGGATAAGTCTGTTGAGTGTACCTGGTAAAGTGTATGGTAGAGTTTAATTGAAAGAATTAAGAGTAAGACGGAGAATGGATAGCAGATGAACAAGGAGGCTTTAGGAAAGGTAGGGGGTGTGTGGACCAGGTGTTTACAGTGAAACATATAAGTGAACAGTATTTAGATAAGGCTAAGAGGTCTTTGTGGCATTTATGGATTTGGAAAAGGCGTATGACAGGGTGGATAGGGGGGCAATGTGGCAGATGTTGCAAGTGTATGGTGTAGGAGGTAGGTTACTGAAAGCAGTGAAGAGTTTTTACGAGGATAGTGAGGCTCAAGTTAGAGTATGTAGGAAAGAGGGGAATTTTTTCCCAGTAAAAGTAGGCCTTAGACAGGATGTGTGATGTCACCGTGGTTGTTTAATATATTTATAGATGGGGTTGTAAGAGAAGTAAATGCGAGGGTCTTGGCAAGAGGCGTGGAGTTAAAAGTAAAAGAATCACACACAAAGTGGGAGTTGTCACAGCTGCTCTTTGCTGATGACACTGTGCTCTTGGGAGATTCTGAAGAGAAGTTGCAGAGATTTGGTGGATGAATTTGGTAGGGTGTGCAAAAGAAGAAAATTAAAGGTGAATACAGGAAGAGTTTAAAGGTTTGAGGATAACAAAAAGATTAGGTGATGAAGATTGAATATCAGATTGGAGGGAGAGAGTATGGAGGAGGTGGGAAAGTATTCAGATATTTGGGAGTGGACGTGTCAGCGGATGGGTCTATGAAAGATGAGGTGAATCATAGAATTGATGAGGGAAAAAGAGTGAGTGGTGCACTTAGGAGTCTGTGGGACAAAGAACTTTGTCCTTGGAGGCAAAGAGGGGAATGTATGAGAGTATAGTTTTACCAACGCTCTTA